TGTAAGTTGTGCAGATACCAGCACCTGTTGCTAGGTCATACAATATACTTGTATATGTAAGTTGTGTAGATACCAGCACCTGCTGGTAGGTCATACAATGTGCTTGTATATGTAAGTTGTGTAGATACCAGCACCTGTTGGTAGGTCATACAATATACTTGTATATGTAAGCTGTGTAGATACCAGCACCTGTTGGTAGGTCATACAATATACTTGTATATGTAAGCTGTGTAGATACCAGCACCTGTTGGTAGGTCATACAATATACTTGTATATGTAAGTTGTTTAGATACCAGCACCTGTTGGTAGGCCACACAATGTACTTGTAAATGTAAGCTGTGTAGATACCAGCACCTGTTGGCAGGTCATACAATGTACTTGTAAATGTAAGCTGTGTAGATACCAGCACCTGTTGGTAGGTCATACAATGTACTTGTATATGTAAGTTGTGTAGTTACCAACACCTGTTGGTAGGTCATACAATGTACTTGTATATGCAAGTTGTGTAGATACCAGTACCTGTTGGTAGGTCGTACAATGTACTTGTGTATGTAAGTTGTGTAGATACCAGCACCTGTTGGTAGGTCATACAATGTATTTGTATATGTAAGTTGTGTAGATACCAGCACCTGTTGGTAGGTCATACAATGCACTTGTATATGTAAGTTGTGTAGATACCAGTACCTGTTGGTAGGTCATACAATGCACTTGTATATGTAAGTTGTGTAGATACCAGTACCTGTTGGTAGGTCGTACAATGTACTTGTGTATGTAAGTTGTGTAGATACCAGCACCTGTTGGTAGGTCATACAATGTATTTGTATATGTAAGTTGTGTAGATACCAGCACCTGTTGGTAGGTCATACAATGCACTTGTATATGTAAGTTGTGTAGATACCAGTACCTGTTGGTAGGTCATTCAATGTCCTTGTATATGACTCACGAAATCGTAATGACACGATTTCAAACAAACCATATCACGGAGTTTCGAGACTCTCTGATCGCGGGTTCTATCCCTACCCGTGTATGGTTTACTTGTATATGTAAGTTGTGTAGATACCAGCACCTGTTGGTAGGTTGCACAATGTACTTGTATATGTAAGTTGTGTAGATACCAGCACCTGTTGGTAAGTCATACAATGTACTTGTATATGTATGTTGTGTAGATACCTGTTGGAGGTCAAACAATGTGCTTGCATGTGTATGTTGTATAGATACCAGTACCTGTTGGTAGGTCATACAATGTACGTGTATATGTGTGTTCTGTAGATACCAGCACCTGTTGGTAGGTCGTACAATGCACTTGTATATGTAAGTTGTGTAGATACCAGCACCTGTTGGTAAGTCATACAATGTTTGGCTAAAGTTTCTCGAGAGACGTGACAAATTAATTATGGGTGTGATTTATAGGCCCCCAAACCTTGATAGGGAGGGCAGTAAGCTGTTATGGGACGAAATTCATAAGGCATCTAGATATGAAAATGTTGTGATAATGGGAGATTTTAACTTTAGACAAATTGATTGGAACAATATGACAGGAAATCTTGAGTCTAGTGACTTTCTTGATACGGTTCAGGATTGCTTTTTAGAACAGTTTGTGACAGAACCAACTAGAGGAAACAATCTGCTTGACTTGGTTCTTGCCAACAAAGATTCACTAATTAATAATCTTGAGGGTAATGGTGAGCTTGGGGAAAGTGACCACAAATCACTTAGTTTCAATATATCATGGAATTACCCAGATAACTGCAATCAAATCTCTGTCCCAGATTTTCGCTTGAGACTGAAAAATTACTTGGGTGGGCTAAATTGGGATGCCCTGACTATGGGTCTGGTAGGTGATCTTGGTTGCCAATATGACGTTTTTCAGTGCATAGTACTAGCTGCCCAGACAACTTTTGTTCCGAGTAGGGAAACTAGATCTAACAAAAATGATCCCAAATGGATGAACAATAGATTAAAACATCTCATTGGTTAAAATAGAGGCATATATAGGCGTATCAAAAGAGGGGATGGGCAGTTAAGAAATCAATATATTCAATTAAAGAGAGAAATAAAAAAGGAATAAGAAAAGCAAAAAGAGATTATGAAGCTAAGGTCGCAAGGGATTTAAAGACTAACCCAAAAGGGTTCTTTCAGGAATACAGAAGTAAGATTAGGGACAAGATTGGCCCACTTAAGAGTAACTCTGGTCAGATCACTGACAGTGATAAGAATATGTGTGAAATTCTAAATACCTACTTCCTCTCAGTTTTCACCCAAGAAAATACTAGCGATATTCCTGAAATAATAGATTATGTAGAATAGGATGATAATAAACTATGTACGATTGCGGTAAGTAGTGACATGGTCCTCAGACAAATAGAGAAACTAAAACCTAACAAATCCCCAGGTCCTGATGAACTGTTTGCAAGGGTGTTAAAAGAATGTAAAGAGGAACTTAGCATACCTTTGGCTAATCTTTTTAGCATGTCACTACAAGCTGACATAGTGCCTGATAAGTGGAAAATGGCAAATGTAATACCTATTTACAAGGCAGGTGACAGGTCCTTGGCTTCGAACTATAGACCAATAAACCTTACCTCCATAGTGGGAAAATTTATGGAATCAATAATTGCAGAAGCAATTCGTAGCCATCTTGACAGCCATAGACTGATTAATGAATCTCAACACGGTTTTACAAAGGGGCGTTCCTGTCTTACGAATTTACTAACTTTTTTTCTCTAAGGTGTTTGAGGAGGTAGATCATGGTAATGAATATGATATTGTGTATATGGGCTTCAGTAAGGCTTTCGATAGAGTTCCACACCAGAGGCTATTGAGGAAACTTAGGGGACATGGAATAGGAGGAGAAATTTTTTCCTGGGTAGAGGCATGGCTAACAAATAGACAGCAGAGAGTTTGCATAAATGGGGAGAAATCAGAATGGGGGCACGTCACAAGCGGTGTTCCTCAGGGGTCACTGTTGGGCCCGTTGTTGTTCATAATTTACATAAACGACATAGATGAGGGAATAAATAGCTATATAAGCAAATTTGCTGATGACACCAAAATAGGCCGTCCAATTCATTCTAATGAGGACATTAGAGCACTCCAGGATGATTTGAATAGACTGACGCAATGGTCGGAGAAGTGGCAGATAAGAACATAAGAACATAAGAACGAAGGAACACTGCAGAAGGCCTACTGGCCCATGCGAGGCAGGTCCAAGTCTCTTACCGGCTTAAGCCAATGCACCCAACCTAGTCAGGTCAGGTCACATTGACTTAAGGGAGGAACACGGCAACCGACCTGGTAGCACAAGCTATCAGGTCTAACTCACACCCACCCACATCCACTCATGTATTTATCCAACCTATTTTTAAAGCTACACAACGTTCTGGCCTCTATAACGGTACTTGGGAGTTTGTTCCACTCATCCACAACTCTATTACCAAACCAGTACTTTCCTATATCCTTCCTGAATCTGAATTTTTCCAACTTAAAACCATTGCTGCGAGTCCTGTCTAGGCTAGATATTTTCAGCACACTATTTACATCCCCTTTATTTATTCCTGTCTTCCATTTATACACCTCAATCATATCCCCCCTAATTCTACGTCTTTCTAGAGAGTGCAGATTCAGGGCCCTTAGTCTATCCTCATAGGGAAGGTTTCTGATACATGGGATCAACTTTGTCATCCTCCTTTGTACATTTTCCAGAGAATTTATATCCATTCTGTAATAAGGTGACCAAAACTGTGCAGTATAATCTAAATGAGGCCTAACCAAGGATGTATAGAGTTGAAGAACAACCTGAGGACTCCTATTATTTATGCTTCTTGATATGAAGCCAAGGATTCTATTAGCTTTATTGCGAACACTTATGCACAGATGCAGTTTAATATTGACAGATGCAAGGTTCTAAATGTTGGACAGGAAAATAACCATGCCACATATAAACTAAATAATTTAGACCTTAATACTACTGATTGCGAAAAGGATTTAGGAGTTCTGGTTAGCAGTAATCTAAAACCAAGGCAACAGTGCATTAGTGTTCGCAATAAAGCTAACAGAATTTTTGGCTTCATATCTAGAAGAATAAATAATAGAAGTCCTCAGGTTGTTCTTTAACTCTATATATCCTTGGTTAGTCCTCATTTAGACTGCTGTATTCTGTATTACAGAATGGATATAAATGCTCTGGAAAACGTACAAAGGAGGATGCCAAAGATGATCCCATGTATCAGAAATCTTCCCTATGAGAACAGACTGAGGGCCCTGAATCTGCACTCTCTCGAAAGACGTAGAATTAGGGGGGATATGATCGAGGTGTATAAATGGAAAACAGGAATAAATAAAGGGGATGTAAATAGGGTGCTGAAAATTTCCAGCCAAGACAGGACTCGCAGCAATGGTTTCAAGTTGGAAAAATTCAGATTCAGGAAGGATATAGGAAAGCACTGGTTTGGTAATAGAGTTGTGGATGAGTGGAACAAACTCCCGAGTACAGTTATTGAGCCTAAAACGTTGTGTAGTTTTAAAAATAGGTTAGATAAATACATGAGTGGGTGTGGGTGGGTGTGAGTTGGACCTGACTAGCTTGTGCTGCTGGGTCTGGTGCAGTGCTTCATCCTTGAGTGGAGATGACCAGGCTGGGTTGGTCATTGGGATAATCCGGGGGGTGGGTCATTGGTCTAATCCGGGGAAGAAACATGGACCTGCTCCGCTTGGGTCAGTAGGCCTGTTGCAGTGTTCCTTCTTTCTTATGTTCTTATGCTCTTATATGTATGTTGTGTAGATACCTGTTGGAGGTCATACAATGTGCTTGTATATGTATGTTATATAGATACCAGTACCTGTTGGTAGGTCATACAATGTGCTTGTATATGTATGTTATATAGATACCAGTACCTGTTGGTAGGTCATACAATGTACTTGTATATGTATGTTGTGTAGATACCAGCACCTGTTGGTAGGTCATACAATGTACTTGTATATGTAAGTTGTATGTAACTCAGACAAAACATAAGTTGGAAGAACGCAGGCTCACTCATAACATCGAGTTCAGTTCTTGTTAGACTTCACTTGGATTTAGTTGCTGTCGTTCAGTTTTGCCATTATTTAAAACTTATGAAAGATATCGTCTTTTACAATTCACTGAGTCCCCCATGAAGCAGATGTTCGCAGGACACAGATCACACTGGGTTAAGTTAGATTTAATGCAAAGAATACGCTTTCTCTGTTAGTTGACAAAAATATTAACCAAGTCGTAAGAATTTTAAAGATAATTTGTCTTGCTTGATCAGTCATCCAGATTTATGCAAGATGAGTCGTCTTGACCTCTAATACAAATTTTTACTTGATCTTCCCCACGACACTCGTGGGGCGGCAATTAAGAAAAAAATATTTATATTCATAATTCGAAAATTGATAATAACATAAAACTAAGAATTTAAACTTCACTTTCTGACAGGTAAACAGGACACGAAGTGGTCCATGATGCGCCTGCAGCAGACTGGTCTCTCAACACAGGTGATGGAGGCTTGGCTGGTCACACAGGTGGTGGAGGCTGTGTTGACCTCAACACAACATGGCAGCTACTCTGTAATTTTTATTACAGACGGCACTACCTCACCCTCCACTATCTTCATGGTAGTGGGAAAATAATTTCGTAGTTGTAAAATGTAATTACTTAGTGAAGTAGATTAATTTTTATAATCATAACTAAACGCTAAACTCATAATGAACCAGATTAAATAATCAGTAATGAGTAACTGTTTACGTTAACGAGCCCGCTAAATTGTATTAAATAAATAATTCAAAATGAACCAGTTATACAGCATTAATTATAAATAAAACCGATATCAGTATAAATGGCTTGAAGTAGAACGATTCCTTGTATATATATTCGCAGCTATTAAAATAGGTCTTACAATTGAAAACCTCTCGACCAATGAGCGGACAGACAAGTGTGCTGTGACCTGTGATTAGCCAATCAAAATATTTGCCAAAATATGTATCATTCGTTAACGTATCATTAAAACTATAAATGTAATTATTTCGATACACACTACTACGTGGAATATAAAATAATATAACAAAAAAAATGAACAAACTGTTAATATGTAAGTGAACACAATAATAACGAGAAATAAAATAAGAAAATACGTAGCAAGTTCCATTTACATTGCAGCAGATACTAACAAAATAGCATCAGTTCTCTTTGATAAGTCACAGGACACACAACACAATCTGCTCTATAGAAACCGTGAAGAAACCTTACAGAGTTAGGGAGTGTGTGTGTTCCAGGGAAGAACTGCGGTGTTGTCAACCCACACCTGAACACTGCCTATCACCACGAATTTCGTCGAGAGAAGTAATTATGGCATATCTGTCCCCCAGGGAGTAACAGCCGTTACTGGCAATCCTCTGGTCAATTAAGTCAGTAGTTCTTAATATCATTGGCCAATTTTTACATGCAGGTAGGACCACGACCGACCCTTAGATATTATGGCTTAAGCTGCTCTGTCTACAAAATTTACATGTAAATAATTCACAGATACTCCCACATTGGAGACTGAAATCTTTGATAATGTGTCAGTCCGACTCGGACCATGAACTGAGAGATATTTGTGTAGTGTTCTAGTCACGGTATTGTGCCTTTTTATTCTTTACATGTAAATACAGTCACGGTATTGTGTCTTTTTATTCTTTACATGTAAATAAATCTGTGAATCGTGTCAAATTTTGTGTTAGACACTCGTAAATGTCATTTGCTTCACGGTGACTTTCTAGACTTTTCTTCCTAATATACTCTAGGCTTTTCATTAAAGATCCTCAATACAGTTTACTAGATACCACTGAAGACCAGAAATTTTTACGGTAATCGAGGTCCACCTCTGAATGTGTATATGATGATCGCCGAAGGAGAGGAAAGTCTGAGGAGCCAGGCAACAACACATCCAGGGAACTATAATCAAAACAGATGTGTGAATTACCATTTATTGTGTTGATGAATATTAATAAACTAATCCCTAAGTAGATTATATATCAGTAATTTTTCAGATGGAGTATATAATATTCCAAAAGACATTCAGAGTGATTTTAATCAAACTAAAGTTGTCACAATATATATTTACGTTTCAGCATTACAGATATTTTTCTGTCCTAAATTAAGTGTCAGTGCCTTTGTTTCCACTGTAATTTGTTGCTGAGCAGTGGAAGGCATAAATCCTCTTGTTTACACTACGTGCTGTAAAAGACTTTATGATTCAACATGCTCTGGGATAACTTTGTCTTGATATCTTACTCCATAAGGAACATTTATAGTATATATTCTAGACTGTGCTAACAAACAATATATTAGTTTCTCATTATATTTCATATTTTACCTTTTAGTTACAAGATCATCTACGGTCTCCAGGAGGAGTTGGATTTTTTGAAGCAGGAATTAATGGCTCTGATTTCAATCAGAGGGACGAGCACCTCTCTCTGCTGGTTGATAATGTTAAGATGGTAGGTTGTCTGCCCATTGTTTCGTAGATGTAAGAAAATGTTTACATTGTTACTGCCCTAGGTAGGGCATCTTTTTGTTATTCATGGTAATTTAATGGGAATTTGGTCATTTATGACCAGTTAATACAAAAGCTGTGTCAATTACTCATGGTTGGTGAGCCTCTTATCTCTGACAGTTTATGGAGATTATTGACTATAATTTCTACATTAACAGCTGCGGAAGTTGTCATCATACACAACAATTGTGGTGATAAGTGACGAGGCAACCTTCCTCGCCGCCTTCGTCAAGTGGTCCGTCAAGGGGCGCCTCATGGTGTGGTCGACGAGGCTCCTCATCCTCACTCACTCTCGCCTCATGGAGCTGCAGGATCTCCACACAACCTTGTCCAACCTCAACTCTATGTTGGTTATTATCAACGACGACACAACAAACATTAGGTGGTGAGTGTTTTGTTATATATACTTAAACAAAGATTATATATAATGATTCTTGACACCACACAATGTCTGAGTTAAGGAATAATAATAATAATAATAATAATAATAATAATAATAATAATAATAATAATAATATCTTTATTTCTACAAGTACATGTACAAGGTATAAAGTCCTAGCTGACATCGATGACATACTACTGTAGAGAAAGCCGCTTGTTATGCAAGAGCATTTCAAGCATATTAGGTCAGTTTTTGTCCCAGGATGCGACCCACACCAGTCCACTAACTTCCAGGTACCTATTTTACCGATGGGTGAACATAGACAACCGATGTAAAGAAACACGCCCAATGTTTCTACCTTCGCTGGGAATCGAACCCGGACCCTCGCCGTGTGAAGCGAGAGCTTTAGCCACCAGGCCACGGGGCACACACACACACACACACACCACACACACACACACACACACACACACACACACACACACACACACACACACACACACAAAGGCGAAGGGAGGAAAGAGAGGGGATGGAGGGGACAGACAGGAGATCCCAGACACAGGAAGATCAAATACAGCCTCCCTCACAACTTCCTATAGAAGCCCCCAACCAGGTCAAGCCCAGTGCAACCAAACACTCTAAACCAAAACACCCATGCCATATCCAGTGCCCCCACCCACTGCATTACAAACTCCACCCCTACAGCACCCACCCATAGTTCCTTATCAGGTCTCCCACTTCCCCAACCCCAATATACCTCCCAGACCACAGTCTTAGAAAAGAAGTTGAAGGTGTGGTATACAAATGCAGATGGAATAACAAGTATGAGGAGTGGCATGAAAGAATCAAAGAGCCATCCCCAGACATAATAGCACTCACAGAAACAAAACTCACCAGAATAATAACAGATTCAATCTTTCCATCCGGATATCAAATCTTCAGGAAAGACAGAGGGAGGAGAGGGGGAGGAGGAGTTGCACTGCTCATTAAAAACCAGTGGGGTTTTGAGAAAATGGAAGGAATGGATGGCATGGGCGAAAGGGACTACTTAGTAGGAACAATCCAGTCTGAGGGACATAAGGTGATAATTGCAGTAATGTACAACCCACCACAGAACTGCAGGAGGCCAAGAGAAGAATACGATGAGAGCAACAGAGCAATGGTCAACACACTAGCCGAGGTTGCCAGAAGAGCACACATGGGGGGAGCAAAGTTACTAGTTATGGGTGATTTCAATCACAAGGAGATTGACTGGGAAAACCTGGAGCCCCATGGGGGTCCCGAAACATGGAGAGCCAAGATGATGGATGTGGTACTGGAAAACCTCATGCATCAACATGTTAGAGACACTACCAGAGAGAGAGGAGAGGATGAACCAGCAAGACTGGACCTTGTATTCACCTTGAGTAGTTCGGACATCGAGGATATCATGTATGAAAGGCCCCTGGGAGCTAGTGATCATGTGGTTCTGTGCTTCGACTACATAGTTGAGCTTCAAGTAGAGAGAGTAGCAGGAATAGGCTGGGAAAAAACAAAATACAAAAGGGGGAACAACTCAGGCATGAGAAACTTCCTGCAAGACATTCAGTGGGAGAGGGAACTGACAGGAAAATCAGTACAAGAAATGATGGACTATGTGGCAACAAAATGCAAGGAGGCAGAGGAGAGGTTTGTTCCCATGGGAAACAGAAATAATGGGAATAACAGATCGAGTCCTTGGTTCACCCGAAGGTGTAGGGAGGCAAAAACTAGGTGTACTAGAGTATGGAAAAGGTACAGAAGACAGAGAACTCAGGAAAATAAAGAGATTAGCCGAAGAGCCAGAAACGAATATGCACAGATAAGAAGGGAGGCTCAGCGACAATATGAAAATGACATAGCATCGAAGTCAAGTCTGACCCGAAGCTGTTGTATAGCCACATCAGGAGGAAATCAACAGTCAAGGACCAGGTAATCAGACTGAGGAAGGGTGATGGGGAGTTCACAAGAAACGACCGAGAGGTATGTCAAGAGCTCAACACGAGATTTAAAGAGGTATTTACAGTGGAAAGCAGTAGGACTCCAGGAAATCAGAACAGGGGGGTACACCAACAAGTGCTGGATGAGGTACACATAGCCAAGGAGGAGGTGAAGAAGCTGCTATGCGAACTTTAAAGAGGGAGCAGAGATACTGTGTGTACCATTAACAAAGATCTTCAACATGTCAATTGAAACTGGGCAACTCCCTGAGGAATGGAAGATGGCAAATGTAGTCCCAATTTTTAAAAAGGGAGACAGACATGAGGCACTAAACTACAGACCTGTATCACTAACGTGTATAGTATGCAAAGTCGTGGAGAGATCATCAGGAGGAGAGTGGTGGAGCACCTGGAAAGAAACAAGTGTATAATTGACAACCAGCACGGTTTCAGGGAAGGAAAATCCTGTTTCACAAACCTACTGGAGTTTTATGACAAGGTGACAGAAGTAAGACAATAGAGAGAGGGATGGATCGACTGCATTTTTTTGGACTGCAAGGCCTTCGACACAGTTCCTCACAAGAGGTTACTGCAAAAGCTAGAGGATCAGGCACACATAACAGGAAAGGCACTGCAATGGATCAAAGAATACCTGACAGGGAGGCAACAACGAGTCATGGTACGTGACGAAGTGTCAGAGTGGGCGCCTGTGACAAGCGGGGTTCCACAGGGGTCAGTCCTAGGACCTGTGCTGTTCTTGGTATATGTGAATGACATAACGGAAGGGATAGACTCAGAAGTGTCCTTGTTTGCAGGTGATGTGAAGTTAATGAGAAGAATCAAATCGGATGAGGATCAGGCAGTACTACAAAGAGACCTGGACAGGCTACAAGCCTGGTCCAGCAACTGGCCCCTTTATTTTAAACCCGCCAAAGAAAAGTCATAAAGTTTGGGGGAAGGGGCAAAAAGACCGAACCAAATAGTTTGATGGCCAAAGACGAAAAACCTCCTAAAGGGGAAAAAGATCGAGGTGATATAACACCGACATATCTCCTGAGGAGCACATCGATCAGAAACTGCTGCAGCATACGGGCGCCGGGAAAACCCAAAGGGAAGCTTTCCGATACCTCAGTAAGGATCTTTTCAAGACCTTATACCATTTACTCGGGCTCATACTGGAGTATGCAGCACCATTTGGGAATCCACACCTAGTCAAGCACGTCAAAAATTAGAGAAAGTGCAAAGGTTTGCAAAAAGACTGTCCCAGAGATAAGGGGATTGTCCATGAAGAAAGGGTTGGGGGAAATCGGTCTGACGACACGGAGGACGGGAGGGTCGGGGGAGAATAAACGACATAAAAAAACTCACGGGAAAAGACAAAGGGGAACAAAGATGGATGTTCCAGGAAGGGGCAAAGACACAAAGGGCACAATTGGGAAATGAAAAACTCAGATGAAACAAAAGGGATTAGGAAGTATTTCTTCATCAAGAGAAGGCCCGGTGGTAGCTTAGAAAATGACGAGGAGGGGGGGAACCAAAACATATTTTAAGTCGAGTATATAAAGCTCATGGGGGAGGGAAAAGGAGGGCCCAGTACAACAGCGAAGAGGCGGGGCCAGGGGATATGACTCGAACCCCTGCAACCAGAAATGAAAAATGAAAGAAAAATTTTAAAGAAAAAAAAAATTTGAATTCAACCTAAATATACAGTGAACTGGGGTCCCCGGTTGAGGTTGACCGCTTGTAGAAATTGTAGCCGTTGCTGAATGGAGGGGGAGGGTCACAGTGTTTGGTGAAAACCCAACGGCTGGTTCTTCACAGAGCCCATACCCTTTAATATCAGTCCAGATGACAGAAAGCGGGTTTCAAACCACTCAAAGAGGGGGGTTTTTGTCTGCTGTCGCCACATTTAAATCAGGGGTAATCCAAAAAGGACGCTCCGGGGGGACTTTTGCAAAATCCTTCCCTTAAACACTTTCTCGGGGTTGGCAGTGACCCGATCTTCTTCCAAAGTTGTCGGGGAGCGGATCAGGATTACTGTTGGCCGAGCCCCACACGTCACCTTTCGGGTGGGGAAAAAGGGGGGAGGGGATAGCGGGGCTAGACTGCCCCTACCTTAACAAGCACCCGGGCAATCAAACTATCGTTACCATATACTCGCCGCTACCCTATCTGTTAAAATTTTTTCCCTCACATACGGGTTAGGGCACTTCAACCAAAGGAATTGATTGCAAAAAACCGGGAGCTACAGGGGGTCCCAAAACAGGGGAAACCCAAGTGGGATGGGGGTACGGGAAAACCCTCATACACCAACATTTGGGGACACACCAAGAGAGAGGGGAGATGAACCCAAACTGGACCTTGTTTCAACCCCAGTAGCTCAACATGAGGACATCACATATGAAAGGCCCCTCAGAGCTGAATACACGTGGGGCTACAAGTAGAGGGAACAGGGAAAAAGGGAAAAGCCAAACTATAAAAGAGGGGACTGCACAGGTATGAGGACCTTCCTTCAGGAGGTTCAGTGGGAACGAGAATAGGTAGGAAAGTCAGTAAATGAAATGATGGACTACTTAGCAATAAAATGCAAGGAGGCAGAAGAAAGGTTTGTTCTCAAAGGTAACAGAAATAAGGGAAAGAACAGAATGAGCCCTTGGTTTACCCGCAGGTGTATGAAGGCAAAAACTAAGTGCTCTAGAGTATGGAAAAAGTACAGAAGGCAAAGGACTCAGGAAAATGAAGAGATTAGTCGAAGAGCCAGAAACGAGTATGCACAGATAAGGAGGGAGGCCCAACGGGAGTACGAAAACGACAAAGCATCGAAAGTCAGATCTGACCCGAACTGCTTTACAGCCACGTCAGGAGGAAGACAATAGTCAAGGACCAGGTAATCAGGCTGAGGAAAGAAGGTGGGGAGCTCACAAGAAATGATCAAGAAGTATGTGAGGAGCTCAACATGAGATTTCAGGTAGTACTTACAGTGGAGGCTGAAGGGACACTGGGAAGACAAAACAGTGGAGTACGTCAACAAGGGATATACCA